ATATTGTTTGGTGATAGTGATGTGCTGAAGTCTCCCTCCGCTATTGTGGTGCTATTTCTTTCTTCAATTCTGATAACTGTTGTTTTATGTGTTTTGCAGGTCTCTCATTTGGTGCATAAATATTGACCAAAGTTATGTCTTCTTGATCTATTATGACTTTAATCCGTATGGAATGCCATTCCTTATTTTTTATGGTGGTTTTCATTCTGAAATATATTTTATCAGAGATTAGTATTGCCACTCTTGCTTTTTTGAGGTTGCCATTTGCATGATATATTTTTTTTCCAGTCTTTGATTTTGAGTCTGTCCTTCTCTTCTCTTTTCAGATGTGTCTCTTGTAGACAATATATTGATGGGCTTTGGGTTGTTGTTATTGTTTGGGATTTTAAAATCCATTCTGCTACTCTTTTTCTTTTAACTGGTATATTTAGTCCATTCACATTAATTCTGATTCTTGTCAGGCCAGGTGGTATTGTTGCCATTTTGTGGTGTTTCTTTTCCTGTTGTTTCTGGTTACTAAGCTCCATCCACTTTCCTTTGGTATCTATGTGTAAAAGACTTAATTTAAATTTTCTTGCAGTTTTGGTCTTGTTTTCAAAAATTCCTTAAGTTCCTTCTTTTCTGCAAAGGATCTAATTTTTCCCATATTTGATGGAGAGCTTTGCTGGGCATAGGATCCTTGGCTGAAAATTGTTTTCTTTTAACTTTCTGTATATGCCATCCCGTTGTCTTCTAGCTCACATGGTTTCCACTGAGAAATCAGAACTTAATTTAATCTAATTGTTTCCCTTTTGTAGGTGACTCTGTTTTTCTCATGCTGATTTTAGTATACTATCCTGATCTTTTAATTTGAAGAATTTGACTATCATGTCTTGATGTTTTTCTTTTTTAGTCTGTTCTATTTGGTGTTTGATGTGCTTCTTGAATGTGGATTTCCCTGTTCTTCAAAGTATCTGGAAAGTTTTCTTCTAGTACTTCTTCTACAATTTTCTTATGGACTACCCTGTCACTTACATGTTCTGGAATTCCAATTATACATATGTTGTTCCTTTTGATGTCATTCCACATGATTTTAATGTTTTCTCCATTTTTGTTACATCTCAGCTCTGATTTTTTTTTCTTCTAGTATGTTTTCAGTGAGGTTTTTGTCTTCTGGCTCACTGATTCTCTGTTCCATCTCTTCATCTCTACTTTTTTGTCCCACCAAAGTGTTAGAAATTTCTGCCATTTTGGTCTTAATATTCTGGACTGCATTTTCATGTTTTTCTGTTATTTTAAGTACTGTGTTGGCTGTGCTCTCTCTGTCTTGATTTTTTTTTAAGTTCTTATACCTCTTCATTTACATTATCAATTCTTTCTTCTATCTTTTGCATTTTCTTCCAGAGCTGTTTAAGTTGCTCCTCATTAATCTATTTCTTCTGAATTATTTTCTCGGGGATATTTTCTCTCTTACTACCTTCCAATGTTTCTTCTATCATTTGCAACTTCTTCTACTGCTGTTCAAATAACTCCATATTAACACATTTCTTCTGGTTCTCACTATCTGGAGTACTCACTGGCTCTGCTTTTTTAGGAGATGGGTTATTTTGTTTTTTCATGATGAGTGAAGCACACTGTAGCTTTCTTGACATTATGTGAGTCTTCTCTTAGTAGATATTAGGTTGCTGTAAATACATAATGACTCAGGGTATAGAAATGTTTTGTGAAAGACCTGTATATTGGTGATCCCTTCTTGGGAAACACTATCCAAAGTAGGATGACTGTGGCTCTCCAGAAACTGTGGCTCCATTCAGGCTCTTCTGCTTGAGCTTGAGAAATCCCAGGTGATGTGTAGCTAGACAGCCACTTTCAAAGCCAAAGTACCTCTGGTATTGGTGCTCCTGGCACAGGATAGCAGGGTGGTGGGCCAGTCTGGTCTACTGTACTGCCATTCTCATGCTGTGTGGCAGGTCATACTATGTGGCAGGTTGTGTGGTGTGGCAACAAAAACAACCCTGTTTTAATGATATTACAGCATTTATCTGCTTTCTTATTCATTTATATTGAGCATACATTTATTATTTACCTTCTTCCCACTATAAAATGTGAGTTCATTCCATATATCCTGAGAACTTAATCTTTCTTTTCAACATTGTATTCCCAGCACTTAACACTCTGTTTTTGTTATATAACAGTCAATAAACAATAGTTAAAGAAATAGATGATTAACTAAATAATAAGTCATCAGGTAAACTAATGAAGGAACAAATTAATTAATGAATACATTCAGATAAGTTTATAAGCTGGGTGCTCTTGTTCTGGGTTGTCTGCTGTGTGGAATGTTGAGTTGTTTTCTTTGGTTTATACCTCTTGTTTAGTGTCAACAAGACCTCCTGGATGGTCCTCAGTCCTGCAGCCCTCAGGCCTCATGTTATTATATTTTGGAGGAACATTCTTCAAAGTCATACAACACTGTTTTCTCAATATGATTTACTGAGGTAATCTGGGTTTGCTGTGATGCTGAACATTATGCCATTGGGGTGTTATATGCCATAATAGTTCCTCCTGGTAGACAGTGCTTGATCGAGCTCCAAGTTTTAAGATATATTTGGAAGCAGAAGTGGCATCCACTTCCTAAACCATATGCCTCTGTAAACTCTATGAACTTGGAGAAATGACAATACAGAAAGGCTTCAGGTCTTTTGTTCATAGGGTCACTATGAGTTGTGTTTAACTTGACAGCAATCAACAACAACATTTAGTCCAATAATCCACTCCACTCACCGACTCATTGTCATTGAGCTGGATCTGACTCAGCTGACCCTTCATGGGATTTCTGAGGCTGCAGTGTACCTGGGAGGAAATTGTCTATCTCTCTCCCTCTGAGTGGATGGTGGATACAAACTGCTAGAGAAACTTTGAACTTTGGGTTTAGCAGCATATCTGTTTGTGGACTAGGCCATCAGAGTATCATAATAGCCCAATAGGGAAATCAATTGCAAGAAAAATAGAAATGCTTAGCATCAAAATCTACTAACTACTAATACATACTTAGATCTTTTCTGGTCAGGTACAGGTAATCATTTTAAATCACATAATAAGTATTATTCACTTAGTGATGTTTACTTAGAAAAAGTAAGGTCATGTCTCAGACTTCAAACACAAAAATATTAAGAATAGCACATAATTAATTTTTTAGGAAGTTAATGACAAATACATAATAAGATTACCTCTATTTACCCATTAAGATGGGTCATAATTCTATCTGCCACAGTGCTGTTACTGTTATATGACATTGAGTCTACAATGACTCATAGTGACCCTATGCCCTATAGCTCTGAACCTTACTCTATCTTGTACCAATTTCACTGTCTTTGACACACCTATCCTCATCAGTGTAGATCTTCGAGAAGATTATAATTTATACCATTCTAAAAATCTGAATCAATTTTGTTGTGAGGGTCTTTTCTTCTTTTGATCCTCTATCTTTTAAAGAATAATATCCTTTCCCAAGTACCAGCCTCTCCAAACAATATGCCCAAAGTTTGTGTAATGAAGCTTCTCTATCCTTGCCTCCAAGAACTAACCTGGCTATACATTCTCTAGGATATATTTGTTTGTCCTCTTGATGGTTCATTGATTATTCAGTACTCTTCTCCAACATCATAATTCAAAGGCATTGATTCTTCTTCTGTGATCCGTAGTCATTATCCAACTTTCAGATGCATAACAAGTAATTGAAAAGACATGGTTTGAGGCAGGCACACACCTTAGTCTTTAAACTGACATCATTGCTCTTTAAACACTGTAGAGAGATTCTTGGGAGAAGATTTACGCAATGCAATATGTCTTTTGATTTCATGACTGCTGGTACCAAAGATATAGATTATAGATCTAAGCAAGATGAAATAATTTATTTCAATCTTTTCTTCATTTACCATGATGTTGTCTAGTATATGAATTGGCATAGTGAGTAAGTCTGACAATGGGATCAAGAACATCACAGATGACAGGGCAAAGTTCAGATTCCTTGTTCATGGGGTTGGTATTAGTAGTAAGACTTGATGGCACCTAATAACAATGACAATCATCTGAAAGTTAAACAATGAATCAGGAATACTAAAAAATAATTTATGCATTTGTAGTGTTGGCAAAAAAAATATTAAATATACTATGGACTGCCAAAAGAACTAGCAAATCTATCTTACAGGAATTGCAGCGAGGGCGCTCCTTACAAGAAGGATGGTGAAACTTGTCTCACATACTTTGGGTATATTGTTAAGAGGCATCAGTCTTTGGAAAAAGACATTGTTCTGGGAAAAACAGAAGGTCAGCAAAAGAGAGAAAGATTTTCAATGAATTGAATTGACACAGTGACTGCAGCAATGTGCTTGAGCTTGGCTGTAACAATGGACTCAGGAACACCAGGGATGTTCAGGATGGTGCAGGATGGGGCTTTAAGCTAAAGAACTCTGGTGGTGCTGTGGTTAACGCCTTAAGCTGCTAACCAAAAAGATTGGTGATTTGAACCTCTCAGCAGCTTTGAAGGAGAAAGGTAAGGTAGCTTGCTTTCATAAAGATTAATAACCTTAAAACACTAAGAGAGCAGTTTTACTATGTCCCTCAAGGCAGCTTGGAGTCTGAATTAATTAGGTAACAATGGGTTGCTGTGCTTTATTTTTTTAAACTTGAATTTATACTAGGCAAGATAATGAATTGTGCCTAAAATGTGTAGCTTATGGGATCAAATATGAGTAAGTCTTCAAGTCATTGTCTTAAAAATCTAAACTTCTAGTTTATTTAAAAAAAATGCCATTTAAAACACCACCACTGAAATTAGAACACTGAAGCTCCACTTCCATCCTTTTGGCAGAAAAACTAATTAAAATCTAGCTCTTCACCTGGCATTAGTCTCACAGACTTGCCTTGCTCTCCCTGCATGGGCTCTGGGTTGTTAGAGGACTAATGAGCTGAGTTCAGATAGCAACTCAAGGGCTTTTCTGCCCACACTGATTACTTACAGGATTTCACCGGAAATGTTTTCGCTGGTTGAAGCATTTTTTTGCATTTGTTTCTCCTTTGGCTCTAAAATTTGCTTTTCTTCTCCACAATTTGTTACAGGTTTATGCACAGCAAGCTTGGCTCCAGACCCAATGTCACTTTGGACCTCTAAAACAAGAGCTGTGCGGAAAAGCACATATAGCAACAACATATTAGCCATGATTGCAGACCACTGTAATGGGAACACAATCATTAAAATGAAAATATATATATAAAAAAACCCCACCAAAACAAAAAACAAACAAAAACCCTGCCAGCAATTTGGTCAAAGAGGAAGCATTTTTAAGAACAACTGATAACTGCTTTTTCTCTCCTAATAAATTGTATTTCTTTTCATTTAATTCATATAGATTCTTCCCTCAAGATATCATAAAAAATGGTTACCCTTGGTGGGCAGTGCTTGGTGGAGCTCCCCAGTTAAAACGCGCTTGGCATCCACTTCCGAAATAGCTTACCTCCCGAAACTTTATGAACATGGAGAAATTATGTAAGTTATATAAGCGTGCGGGTATTTCATTCATAGGGTCACTATGAATTGTCTATGATTCGATGGTACTTAACAACAACAACAACTTAGAGAGCTCTGTTGGCCTAGTGGATAAAAAGTTATGCTACCAGCTTTCTGATGCACAGCAAGTGATTGCAAAGACCATGGCTTTTATCAGGTGCGCCTTAGTCTCCAGACTGACATTGTTGCTCTTCAGAACTTTGGAGAGGTCTCTGGCAGCAGACGCCCCCAATGGAATTCGTCTTTTAATGTCATGGCTCCTGGTGCCAAGAATGGTGATTTGGAGTCAAGCAAACTAAATATGAACATTCACTATCTATCATGATTCTGCCAATTGACCCTGTGGTTAGAATCTTTGCTTTCTTGATATTGAGCTTCAATCCATATTGAAAGCTGTAGTCCTTAACCTTCTACAGCAAGCGCTTCAGATCCTACTCAGTTTCAGCAAGCAGGGTTGTTTACTTGGAGACTAGGATTTTGAAGCTCCGTCTCACATGCTTTGGGCACATGTCTAGGAGACACCAGTTCTTGGAGAAGGACGATATGCTTGGAAAGGTGGAGGGACAGAGCAGGAGAGAAAGATTCCAGATGGGATCGATTGATACAGTAACTGGGGCTATGGGGGATTGTTGTGTCAGAATTAGTGATACTGGCTCAGGACGTGTTCAGAGCTTCTGTACATAGGGTCGCTATGGGTCACAAGTGACTCACTTGATGACATATAACAACAACAACAACATATTATATTGGCTGGTTTTTTTTTATTTAATATGCTTGTCTAGAGTCAAGAAGACTTTGGGGAGGGCCTGTGTATTTAAATGTTCGTTGTTATTATATTAGGAATATTCTTCTAAGTGGTACAGCACTCGTCTGTCAATTTGCTGTATTGAGGTAACGTGGGGTTGTTGTAATCCTGAATCCTGTGTCACTGGAGCATCAAATCCTGTAACAGTTACCCATGGTGGGCAGTGTCTGGTGGAGCTCCCAGTTTAAGACAGGTTTGGAAGCAGTAGTGGCATCCACTTCCTAAACAACATGCCTCTGAAAACTCTATGAACTTTGAGAAACAATAGTTATAGAAAGGCTTCAGGTCTTTTTTCGTAGGGTCACTAAGAATCTTGCTCGACTTGCCAGCAATCAACAACAGTATATATGTATTTATTTATAATTATATATATATATTATATATATATAAAATAAAATTTATACATGTAAAATAATATATATATATATAATTTTCTCTGGATTTCAAATTTTCAGTAAACAATTCACTCAAAACCATTACTTTTGAGTTGGAAATGGCCCATAGCTGACGTTTCAGTTGGTTTTCAGAGGCAGTAAATTGCACAAGAGAAGACTGCCCATCTTTCTCAAGTAAAGCAACTGGTGGACCAAGCCCATTCTCCAGGGAGTTTTCAGAGGCAGTAAATCACACAGGAGTAGACTGCTCATCCTTTTCCCATAGAGCAGTTGGTGGATTTGAACTGCATGCCTTTGGGACTGCAGTGCAGCATCTTACCACTAAGCCACCAGAGCTCGTTAAGGTGTTTTTACTATTCAATACTGAATAGTTTTCATGCTCTAGTAAATTCCAAGTGAAACTGTTCACAAATGATTTGTAGATAAGCACAAATAAGCCTGTGCTTATCTTCTTTATTGTGCAATCTGCCCCTGTCTGGGATAAAAACCCTATCATAGAAACTCCCTAGTGTTTATAAAGTCACATGTAATACTTAGTATATAGTGTTCAACACAAGGCACAGGGAAATATTTTAATTCACTCTACCAAGCTTTTCTTTACTCCCTTTCTGTATTAGTGAGCTTTGTTCTGGGCAGCCATAAGGCAAGGAGGAGGACCAGTAGAGAGGAGAAATGTTACAAAAGGCGTGTAAGAGAACAAGAGTCATTCTTTAATCAAGTGCAGGACATTGCCAGAAACAACAGCCCTTTAAGCAAGGATACCTACTGCCATGATTTAGAACTTTTCCAAACACATTTAGCTTCCTTTAGCATATCAAAATTTTAACATCAAAACTGATCTGGAGAAAGAGCACCTGTGGGGGCAGAAGACAGAGCATAACCCAGCCTGATTTCCCCTCCTGCCTTCCAGCTCTGGTATCTTACCTGAGCCAAGCACTGAGAGCACTGCTTAGTGTAGCATTCATTGAAGAGATCCTCCCCCTCCCCTTCCAAGGAGAAGCTGTCTTTCCCTTTGAGAATAGACCTGGCTGCTGGGATGCAGCTAGCACGCTCCTGGCTCAGCCACCCGAACCCCGTCCCCGCCTTCCTGGGAGTCTTTCTGGAGATCTTTACAGAACCAACTGCAGGTAGAGGTGAAATGGATCTGTAGAAAGGCCACCAAGGATGACCAATCAATCACAAGTGGGGGGGGGGTAGAGAATGGGAAACAGAAGAGTGTTTCAAGCAAACAGGAAGCATCACACAAAGATTTTCTTGCACCAGATGAATACACTCCAAATCATCCCAGTCAGACTTCAGCCTGCAGGGCCCAAGGAGTAAGAGAACTCTCCACCCAAGTCCTTTCCTTCCACTATCTCTTCCATCCTATAGGAGAACTGCAGAGAGAGTCTAGAAACTGGGATAGAAAAGCTTTCTTAAAGGGACCATTTAAGTGAATAGAGCAAAGTCAGACCTGAAGATTTCTTCCCCTCTCCCCCAGATGAGGTGCACAGGGTCCACAAAAAGGCTTAGATGTGTTCTAGATAAAATATATTTTGTTTGCAAAACTACAGTATAGAGTAAACGAAGACTTCATTAAATAAAACTGTTGCTATCAACTGATTCGGACTCAAAGTAGCCCTGAAAGACAGAGAAGAGCTGCCCCACACGGGTTCCAGGGTTTTCATCTTTACAAGCTGCACTGCCACGTCTTTCCCCTGTGGAACAAACTGCTAACTTCAGTTAGAAGCTGAGCACTTGAAAACTGTATCAATGGAGATCCAGTGAAATATATGACTGAACCACCTAAACAGCAAAATGAAGGACTAAAATAGTCTCTTTAAAAAACAAAACACAAACTGTGTTTTTGAAGGAAATAGCATCAAAAGGTATTTTGGTTATATATATTAAATATTTCTAAGGCTTACCCTGTGTCTTATGCATACTGCAAAAGGCTTGAATTCGGGAAATATCAGATGCTAGGTTCCTGAGGAAGATTTGCCTCTTTTGCTGAGAAGTGGACAGATCAGGATCAATCCAATTTTCTCCACATGACACATAAACCTGCCAAAGAAGTGAATCTCTGATTTAAGCAGGTTTTAAAAATGATCCAACAAAGAAGTAAATCACAAATGAGTTGTAGAAGGTTCATTAAGTGTCATAGCTACTACATGTCCACAGACAAATTGGATCAAAGGATCAACTAAAAACTGTAACAATTGTACCTGTAACTACTGTGCCTCTTTTGAGTTTGTAGAAGTGTATTTATGTGGAATTGACACAGTGACCAGTAACAATAGGCTCAAGCAGTGTGGAAATCTTTAGGACAGCACAAAAAAAGTGCAAGGTTCTGATGTGTTGTTCACAGAGTCACTAAGAGGCCAGTTAGCCCATGGCATCCAGCAATAACAATGACAGCATTTTCATGCTGCCCTATCAGTCTTCCCTTAAGGGTGATACAAACAAGGACAATTACGTAAGGCAGTCCCAGGGTTACCAAAAGAGTCTCATTTACAGTCAGTGTGAGTTTGTATTTGCCCTTCAATGTCATGTAATTTTTCTCTCTTTGAAACAACTGAACCAATCCCTTCTCAAAGCACATTGTCTATCATAATTAACTTCACTGGCTGCACATACAGCTTTTACGTCACATCACTGAAAAAGTCTCAAGCCTTTTATTTCACTAAAGAAAGGCTAAACAAGATCTATATACCCCTGTTACAACTCACAAATAAATTCAACGTAGAACTACACTTATGAATGGCTCTCATTTGTAACCCAGAGACTGACGGGATATTCTTAGAGACGTAATTCTACTTCTAGAAGATTCATGTAAGAAAATATTAAAAGGCATAGGAAAAAGAAGTGTGAAGAAGTATGTTCATTGTAGAATTATATATAACAATGAAATCCAGAAATAATTAAAACATGCAGTGAGTGAGTACTGAATAAGTAAAACTGAAAACATACACACAGAAGTATATAGCGTGGTAGTGGGCTATCAGAAACTATTAACATTAGTGCAACTAAAGGTTGTATACAACAACCCACTGCTGAATCTGACCAGCTTAAAAATAAAGTATGTAATGTGATTATTAGGGAGGATAGAAGGAGAATTGATGCCTTTGAGCTGTGGTGCTGGAGAAGAGTATTGAATGTACCATGGACTGCCAAGAAAACAAACAGATTCATCCTAGAGAGGGTTAAACTAGGCTACTCCTTGGAGGCAAGGATTCTGGGGCTTTGTCTGACATACCTTGGACATGTTGTAAGGAGACACAGGTCCTTGGAGAGGGACATCATGCTTGGTAGGGTAGAGGGACAGTGCAGGAGGGGAAGACCCTCTATGAGATGGATTGATTAAATGACTGGGGTAATCAGGATGGGTGTGTCAGAGGCGATGTGACTGGCACACAGGATAGAGCAGGGTTTAGGGCTGTTGTACATAGGGTTACTATGAGTCGCAAACGACTCGACGGCACATAACAGCAACAACAACAATGTGATTATTTAAAATAAGAGGCTATGTAATGATATAGAAAGATGTTCAATATTTATTAAGTGAAAAAAGTAGAATACAAAATGGCATTTACACAAAAAAACAATCATATGTTTCCATTAAGAAATTTTAAAAAAATACTGTATTGCCACTTCTGGAAAAATGTAGAAGAATTCCTCTTGCTAAATACAACTGAAAATCCCTGGGCAAGGTTACAAACAAACATAAGACTCTGAAGGGTGAAGGGATGTACCAGCCCAGACTAATGACCTTCCCCATTGGTCAGCAGTAATGAGATTATCCCTCTCCATTGAAGGCAAATGTTATCCTCATCAGCTCTGACATACTTGAGTCCTTTGCTGTGGTCACTGTGTCTATCTATCTCATCAAGGGTCTTCCTCTCTTTTTCTGACTCTCTACATTTCCAAGGATAATGTCCTTTTCCAAGGAATAGCCTCTTCCCGCTGTCCTGCAGTAGTAAAGGCATCCTGTCCATTGCCAGTGAATGACATAGGAGGAACAGCAATAGCACGATGGTTCCTCCCAGTGAAGGTAATGTAAGCAGAGGCCCCACACAGAACACCTATCCTTGCCCACCAGTCATGAGGAGCTCCTCTAACCCCAGATGTCGACCAAATTAGAAACCTGAAAATTTCCACCTCAACTCATATTAACAAATGGACAACACCCTTTTCCTTGCCAGAGTAGTGTCAAAAGAGGTTAGCCCAAATAAAGTTGTTAAAATCCAGAGTTTTATAACACAATACATCAAATATCTACATTTCAATCTAAAATGACTCATCATATCAATAATGAGGAAAATCCCCCTCAATAAAGTTCATTCTCTCTCGTGTTCTCTCTCCTCTCCCTCCCCTCCCCTCCCCTCTGCTCCCCTTCTCTCTCTCTCTCTCCCTCTCTCTCTCTCTCCCTCCCTCTCTCTCCCCCTTCCTCCCAGTCAGACTCAACTCATAATTACTCTGAAGTGGGTTTCTGAGACTCTAAATCACACAGCAGGAGCTTTCTCAACTTTCTCCCGAGATGATGCCAGGGGATTTGAACTGCCAGAGAAACATGGTATTTTGGTTAGCATTGCCACTCTCTGCAGTTACCAGATAACCTTTAGTAAAGGAATGTTGTTCTGTACCATGGAGTCAGAACCAACCCAAAGCTGAGCCCCCAGTGGGTTTCCAGAGGCAGTAAATTGCACAGGAGGCAACTGTCCATCTTTCTCCCATGGAGCAGATCATGGGTTCAAACTTCATTACTCTGGGAATGGCTGTGTAGCCCCTTACCATTAGGCCATAAAGAAAAGTTAAACCCTGAGAAAATGAGAACTGGGCACAAACAGAGACTAGTGTTCATAGCAGCATTATTCACTATTACAAGAACATGGAAGCAGCCCAAATGTCCAACCACAAATGAACGGATAGAGAAATTATGGTACGTTCACACAATGGAATACTATGCAGCACATAGGAGCAATGACTTTGCATATTATTACCTAACTTGGGAGGAAATGGAGAGCATTATGCTGTATGAACGAACTCAGTCCCACAAGGATATATATTGTATAAAACCATTATGATAGAATGAGTACAAGGATTCAAGAGGGGTGGGAGAGGTGGGAGCAGAGAGATGAGAATGTGCAGGGGAGGAGGAGATTAATCATGAAGTTGTACAATTTTATGGGGGGGGAGGGAAATTGAAAGAATCTGTTCTTGAAAACAATGTATTTGAATTTTGTAAATAAACTAATATAAAAATATAAAATAATAAATAATATAAATAATATAAAATAAATATAAAATAATATAAAAAAGAAAGATATATTTATTTTGTTTTGTTGACTACATGTAAGCATTTCATGATACAGATCATAAAGTACTAAAAACGTAAAAAAAAAAATAAATGAAAATTTTAGAATAGAACCTTTCAGTAACTGAAATTAAAAGTAAATGAAAAAAACTCAGTGCATTAAATGGAGAAGGCAGAAGAATGAATTATTTGAAAGACAAAATAATAGAACTAAGTAATCTGAAAAACAGAGGAAATTGTATAACACTTAAGAACTAAAAGAACAAAAATTCCGTTTCCATGGGACTATAATAAAAAAACCCCTTATACTCATGCCATTCAAGGCCTAGAAAGAAGGACAAAGTAAACAGAGATGGAAGATTGACAAAAGACATGATGGCCTGGGAATATTCCAAATAGATATGAAACAAGAATTCACATCTTTACCAGTTCATCTCTTTGCAGATCTTTTAAGGCAAAGACTTCTATCCCCTTTTCATTGAATAATCTCCGAGCTGCAGATGGTAATTTTAAATTTTTGGTACACCTGTAATAAAAGAAACACACACACACACACACACACACACACACACACAAATTAACCTTTCATGGAAAAAGCTTCCAGTAAAGAATATTTACATTAAAAGATATCAAGAATTTAATCACTAACGGCCATTCCTTCCAAAGAACTCAGAAATAGTAAAGATCTGGGTTTGGCGCCCATCAGACAACCTTTCAGTCGGTATCCATTCCCTTATTAAGAAATGAATGAGCAAATTCCTTAGGATTGATGTTAATCCTCCTCATGTTCACTATGATACATAAATGAGCAGACATACAACTGACTTTTCTTTCTCAGTAACAACCCCTTACAACTTTCTTATTTCTCTTTGCTTATGCTCTTCTTACCCTGGCTTTTCTACCTCTTCTCCATGCACTCCAAACACTTTGTCAAGGATTTTCTCTCTCCCCCATTCATTTATGATTTTTCAAGACTTTTTAATTTATATGGAAGTATTGTTGTTATTTACCATCAAGTTGGAATCGACTCATTACTAATCCTCCAGAAAGTTTTCAGAAGCAGTAAATCAAACAGGAGGAGGCTACCAATTTTTTTCAGCTGTGAAGCAGCTGGTGGATTCAACCACGTACGTTTGGGTTGGCAGCACAATTCCCTAAAACTTTAGCCTGATTAAATATATATTAAACAGTGATTCAGCCCTTTTCCCACTTAATAAGGAGAACAACATAGCATTTCTTACAGAACACTGTTATGATGGTCTTGCCCCTAGAACTAGGAAAAGAAAATATTCCTACAGAATACATCTTACGTTAAGATGAACTTTTTCTAGCAAGTGAATTAAGGAAGACTTTATTTTTCTATATGAAGATTTCCAAATTTCATGGATGGACTAAAACAATAACTTTAACAATGAGCTTGAGCATATCAGAGATTACTAGGATAGCAAGATTCAGATCTGTTGATCATAAGGTTGCTATGGATCATGGACAACTCAGTGGCACATAACAACAACAACAACACTGAGACAAAGTAGCTGTGAAAATTATTAACTAAATATTGTGGAATCAATCTCAACTCATAATGATCCCACAGACGAGGGTTTCAGACTGCCCTGTGGGCTTTCTAAGGCTGAAAATCTTTACAGCAATAGTGTTGCATCTTACTCCTCTGGAGTAGTTGGTGGATTAAATGTTTGTAAACTCTTATGAAAATTACAATAAAAATAAAATTAGAAAATAAAGCAATTACCTCTCAATTAGGAACCAACACTTAATACACTGTGACCACAAACACTCCCTGACAAATCATTAGCCTTCTATTTCCTCTAAGAGGGAGTCTTAGAGAGAAATAAGCCAGTGGCAACCATGTTCATGCTTCTCATTTAACAATGACAGGCTGTGAATGGAAAACTAGTGAAGACTGGATCAAGTCTCTCATTACTGAGAGCTGGATGAGTGGGTGAGAAGGATGTGTAATAGGATTGATCTCAGTTACAAAATTTGTCTACTTCTGTTTGATGATGCTGAAGAACCCAACTCAATTTCTTTTACGTTACCCAGATGATCCATCTCGTTGTGAGTTACAAACACAGCTATAATATGGTCATCACATTTGCTCCCATTCACTGTTTTATGAAGACAATGTTTGTACCATGGAAATAGCTTGCTTTGGTCAATAAATGAAAGAACAAAAGGAATAGGTAGGGGTCAAGTTTTTCTTCCTTCCTTTCTTGAAAACGTCTTCATGGTATTAAATTTGGTTAGCATATTTAGGTGAGATGGAGAGGATTGGGAAAAATATCTTCTTCTGTATTTAATTCTTCAGACTAATTTACATATCAATCTTCCAAATAAAAGGAAAAGAAGATATGAGAAGGTAGAAATTAGGTCTTAAGCATCTATACTTGCATTTGGGCTTCAAAGTCAGATTTCCTGTTTCGAATTCTAGCCCTCTCACATTCTAGCAAACTGTCCTTGGGGAAGTTACTAGACTTCTCTGAGCCTCATGGCTCCATTAGCCAAAAACAATTACAGAGTATATTGATTGTGAATTCAAGTAAGATGAAGTCATTGATAGCTTCAATCTTTTTTTCCCATCTACTATGATATCATCTATTGGTCCAGTGGTGAGAATTGTTATTTTCTTGGCATTGAGATGCAATCCATACTGAAGGCTGCATTCTTTGATCTTCTGCAGCAAATGTTTCATGCCTATTCACTTAACTTTCCCATCGATTTTGAGAGACCCCCTTTACCGATAAGGAAATTGATCCTGGATATTAAGGTGCTTACCCAACGTTGTAAGTTGTTGTTAGGATCCATCGAGTTGAGTGCAACTCAACTCAATGATACAGACCCAAACAACAGATCTGAAACTCATCCCATCCTGTGTCATCGTCATCATCTCTGATACACTTGAGTACAATTCTGGGATTATTGTATCAATCTAATTCATTGGGGGCCTTCATCTTTTTCACTGACCCTCCACCTTTCCAAGCATGATGTTTCCAAGGAATAATTTCCCCTTGAAACATGCCCAAAAATATGAGAAACAAAGCTTCATCATCTTTGTCTCCAACTCTGGCTGCATTTTCCCCAAGCCATATCTGTTTGTTCTTTTGACAGTCCATGGGATACTTGGTACTCTTCTCTAGCACCACAAAACAAAGACATCAGTTCTTCTTCTGTTATCCTTATTCCTTATCCAGCTCTCAGATGTATAAGTAAATGACTGAAGACGATGGCCTGAATCATGCACACCTTAACCTCCAAAATTATATCATTCCCCTTCAGTAGTTTAAAGATGTCCTTGACAGGAGACTTGCCCAGAGCAATATATCTTCTGATCACCTGACTGTTGCCTACTGGCCCAGAGGACCTTTGCTTTCTTGAGGTTGAAATGAAATCCATACAGAAAGCTGTAGTCTTTGATCTTCTGTGCTAGATGCTATGAAAGGGAATGTGGTATTAAGATTGGAGGAAGACTCTAACAACCTGAGTTATGTAGATAATGCAGCCTTACTGTAGATGACACAAACTTGCTTGCAGGTTTTAAGTAGGAGAGATAAAATTCTATCCTAAATGGCCTCCTCAAAGGGCACCAGCAGAGAATGGTAAGATATTAGTGTGAAAACGTAAAGCAATTGAGGACTGACATGTCCTCTTAACTGGCCAGAATTTCCCTGATACATAAAGGCAAAACCCAAGAAATTAAGTCCCTTGACTTTTACACAAAAATGAACATGGATAATTATGTGGCTAACTTGAGTTCTGAGAATCTAGGGAGGTTGACACTTATTTCTGGTTTACTATCTATGGGATGGAGGAGAGATGTAACAGATATAGCTGGTACCCTGATGATGACATAATGCACCCCATGATAACCCTGAGGTAAAAAAGAGGGAATATAAGGCAAAAAGAGGGCAAAAAGAACAGCTATGTCTCCAAGAACCATTGGTACGACAACTCCCCAATAATGGAGACCTGCTTTCTCCTCCATCCACCCACCAGGATGCCAATTCCTATAGTCTCACACAATTTCCTTTTATTCCCCGCCCCCCACCTCAACAAATGTGTTCTGATTATTTCTAAATGTGTTCCAGTTATTTCCCAGATCGATTTCAGTTATTTTCAAAGAATAGTAAGGATGAATGAAACCACCATTTTCCTCATCTTCTATACAAAATTGTCTGTCTCATATTTTCTCCTCTTTGTCAAGGTCCATTCCAAGCTTTTCTCTCTCTACCTGATTGCTACTGATACTTGCTCCCCACAAAGCTCTCTCTCCTTATGATTAACCTCAACATTTCATACACCTTGTCACTTGACCACTTTCACTTCCATTCAATTAAAACCCTGCCATAAGTGACTTTATGTGTAACTAAGCAAACTCTTGCAAAAAATTGAGAGCTTCTTAGGAGTAAAGAACATCTTGCTTTGCATAGTTTTGTTCTTATATCACCAAAAGAGCATTCAACATAGATCAATGTACATAATATGTGCATAACAGAAAGTTAAAGAATATGATCACATTTTTTTCTTCCCACATTTTAGCTCCTGTTCCAATTTTCCTATTTAATAGCTAAAGGAATGGAGCTTTAAGAAGGGTTTTGCCTCTCAAGACAGTCAATGACATCTCAAAAACCTCATTGCCATAGAGTCAGAACTGTTCATAGCTGACCCTACAGCAGGTTTTCCAGAGATGTTAGATCAGTTGGGAGGATACTACCCATCTTTCTGCCACTGAGCCTCTGGTGGACACAAATCACCAGAAGAGCTCAATATTTGGGTTAGCAGCACAATTTCCTATGAACTATGCCACAAGAGCTCTATTGTGGTTGTTCTTATGTGCTGTGAAATTGACTATGACTCATAGAGATATATGCACAATAGCTCTGAACCCTGCTCTATCCTGAGCCAATCTCATTGTCTCTGACACACATATCCTCCTTACTCCAGTTATAGTATCAATCCATCTCATCAGGGATCTTCCTCTCCTGAACTATTTCTTGACCCTTCCGAGTATGGTAACCTTCTCCAAAGACTGGTCTTTCCTGGCTACATGCCCAAAGTATATGAGACAGAGTCTCAAAATCCTTGCCTCCAAGGAGCAGCTTGGTTTCACTCTTTCCAGGACAGACATGTTAGTTTTCTTGGCAGTCCATGGTCTATATTCATTACTCTTCTCCAGCATCACAAGTCAAAGGCATCAATTCCTTTTCTGTCATCTTTGGTCAATGTCCAGCTCGTGGATGCATAGAAAGTAACTGTGAAGACCATGACCTGTAACAGGCCATTATTGAGGGTTAAAAGTCAATCCCCTGCCTCGTAATCCAATGGTTTTCTAATACTTCTGTTGTCTGTTTCATAGGTTGTTTTTATTTCTAGGTGCCTTCAAGTCAACTACAACTCATAGCAACCCTATGAAAAGAAAAATTGAAACTTGTCCTATTCAACATCATTTCCATGATTTCTGTCATTGTGGTAGTTACAATGTCAATTCATTGAAAGTATTCCTCTTTTAAT